TTTTGGCATATTTAATGCCTCTAACCTCTCTTCGTAGCTCTTGCCCTTCAGTTCTAGGATCCACTTAGTAGCATGTCTTTGCACCTTTTTGCAGTGTGTGCATGCGTGTGTGTGTGTGTGTGTGTGTGGGGTCTATCCTGGAATCTTATCGGTTATGACATGATAAGGGTCCAGGACAGACCCAAATGTAGTCACTTTAATTTTATATGAGTGTAGTTGTTTTTATATACTGTATAGTGAAGACTGCTAAATGTGGATAAAGGTAAAATTATGAAAGTGGTAGAAGAAAACCTTTTGAGTGTGAACAAGGTGAATGGAGAGGTTCTGGAAAGTGGCTGATCAGTTTATATACCTATCTTCTTGAGGTTATCTTGAGATGATTTCGGGGCTTTTTTTTTTTTAGTGTCCCACGGCCTGGTCCTCGACCAGGCCTCCACCCCCAGGAAGCAGCCCGTGACAGCTGACTAACACCCAGGTACCTATTTTACTGCTAGGTAACAGGGGCATCAGGGTGAAAGAAACTCTGCCCATTGTTTCTCGACGGTGCCTGGGATCGAACCCAGGACCACAGGATCAACGTGCTGTCCGCTCGGCCGGTCGGCTCCCCATACACCTAGGGTGTATGGCTGACAAAAGAATAATTTGGGTAAGTTGAGAATCAGGTAAGATGAGTCAGGAAACAAGTGTGACTGGTGCAAAGAAAACCTTGGGAAGGAAAAAAAGATAGGAAAAGGGGCAACTTGATGACTCCAAGATGACATGATAAAGTGTACCTTCCCGTACTGGCATGAAACACTGGTGTTGCATAAATTGTAAGTTAAAGCAGAAGAAATTAACAATCTCAGGAGCCAGTCTGGAGTTAAAAGTAAAGATAGAAGGAAAGATAATGCAATGAAAAATGTATAATGCAAGTCACTAAATCCTAAGATTGAGGCGGTTGTACCAAGATGGTTTGGTTGTTAATATATGAATAATCAAGTGGCAAATAAAATGCATTCAAGGGAATGTGTGGGTATTAGATGAAAAAAGTCAAGAATATGGGCAGACATGGTGAATGATTGTGTGTGTATGAGAAAGTGTGGAATAAGTGAACAAAGTAATAGCAGACCAAGGCTAGGAGGGAACGATTTAAGGTGGGACAAATGCACATAACACAGCTTGAGCACTTTACACCAAGCCTTATGAAGCAGTGAAGTGCTGCGGATGATAGGCTCATTAGTTAACCTATCCTCTCGAATAGTACATTTCATTTTGACAAATCCCCTACAGCCAAATTCTGATTTACTAAAAATCATGGCGCTCACAAAACTGACGTGATGTCCCATTTTCTATTCGTGGGCTCTCTGTTTGGTGAGGCATGGCTAATTTAGTACATTAGTTTAGTGATGTTGGAAATGCTTCAGAGGATAGGCTGCACGAGTATGGAAGGCATGGTGAATGAATGATTATCATTTTTAATATTTTGAATCTTTTCTATAGAGTACTGCTCTAGTATCTTCCATGGGCAGATGCCTTCCTGTATATGAATGAAAGAAATTTCATTCACTTTCCACTGCTCTTGCAGGAAGAAGTGGTCCCATGGGTGAGAATATACAACGCTAACCTGAGTCAAGACATGAATCCCCACATATATGTAAACCCCAAAGGTAGTAGAAGAGTTCTCTACACAAAAAAGGGAAGCTGCAAACATGTTAGATTTAGTTATGGTGTTTGTGGCTGTTCCAACACACGTTTGTGCTGTGTGAGCTAGGAGTATAGGGTGCTTGGAGCTGTTTAGCTCCAAACAAACATCTAGGTGAAACAAACATGTATTGAATCTAAACAAACTTTTTAGATTCAGTACACAAGGTGGAATGACTGATTGCCTTTATTATATTATCAAGTCAAAGTTGCACCATGCATGCAACAGTACAATTAACATTAACTTGCAAGTATCGCCAAAAGACACCTTCATCAAAGATATATATATATATACACAAGAGCTGTGCTTACCCTCAACTACCTCAAGTAATAAATAAATATCTCAGCTGAGCAACAGGTTTCTGACAATGTTATTACACATCACTTCCATATTATTTTCTTTAAATAAATATTAATAGGATTTTAACTAAAAACGTAGTTTTAAATTTGACGAATAATAAAGAATTGAATCAAAGTTATTCTTGATACTGTACAGTTGTATAAATTCTAACTTTCACTGCAGTACATGCAGAATTCTGCCAGATGGCAGTATGCCCACAAAAAATAAATAAACTATTACAAAATCAACATTAAAATCAAACTTACTCAAATATTTAACAAAAAACTAGTGATGAATGTAATGAAACGCAAATTTCTGGGTGAGTCCTCGGTGGCTCCCTGAAGTTGTTATACTCATAGTGCCAAACTACTAGGTACCATCAGTCGCAGAATTCTTTTTGGCCTACCAGGAACCACAACCAGGCCCCCTCTAAAGAGCAGCAGAGAGCAGTGGCACTATGACAAAACTGGCTGTAAATTTTAATCATGTCCACCACCGCCGGGAAAGCACCCACAAAGTCAGCGAAACAAAACAAAATCGCCAAAAGAATTCCCAACAATGAAAACATACGAATGAAAATTCATGAACAAGCACATGCTTGTTCGCCCCACCTTTACCCTCATTTGCAGGGGAGGATGAGGAAGAGAGGGATAGACTGGGTCAGTTATCTGCTCCACCCTCAGGTCTACGATGATGATGAGTTCTACGATGATGATAAGACCATTTTGACTTCCTGAGGAAGGGAGGGTGTCAGAGTGCCACTGGGGTTCACCCAGAAATTGTCATTTCATTACATTTAATGCTAGTTTTTTTTGGGGAGTTTCTTGTGGCTTCCTGAAGCTTCCTATTCATGGAGAACTAAATGAAGGGAAAATACCAGGGAGGAGTGACCACAGCAGGAACCATAATGAACAAGAAACCACAGGCCATGATACTTGACCCAAGGCCATACAAGGCAAATGTGCACCAGTAACAGACAAGAGAAACCTGGCAGCCAGGACCTGCCAAAAGCCCCCCCTTCCCCTGTGCTCGAAAATGGCCTATGACACATCGGCAAACACAGCCGAGAGTGTGGCAAACTTGCGAACAGCATAGGCACGAGGGTAGATTGCAGGCGTGCTGTAGTTAGGTCACACAAATCTTAGTGTGCCCAGCCAGCCAAAACTCTCTCCCAATCTCAGGAAAGACAGAAAGCAAAGACAACCAGACTTACCCAGGGTGAGGACCACCTCAAGTGTGGAAGCCCTCTAAAGGAGCAAACCACAAACACTCCAGGGAGGAGAATGTTGGGAGTGCAAGGGCACTGTATGCATGGAGGAGCCCCTCTAAGAGCACACAGGGAAGAAAACCCTGTGCACATGCAGCTTCAAGCACCCTATACTCCTGGCACACACACACACAGCACAAACATGTGTTGGAACAGCCACAAAGGCAAACACCACCACTTAGTTGAAGCAGAACATGGGTCCCAGATCGAAAGAGGGGTAACCGCACACTGTCTACCATCAGCAAACAACCGAGGGTGGAGCAGCTGGCTGACCTGGTCTGTCTCCTCCTCTTCCCCACAAGAGGGGAGGAAGGGAGTGAATGAAATTGAGCTAGTTTGTGAATTTTCATTCGTTTGTTGACAGGGTCTTGAGGCATCGATCTTTCCTTATAACAAGCAGGGCTCTGTTTTGTTTCGCTGGCTATGTGGGTGTTTTCCAAGTGGTGGCGGGCATTATTAAAATTTACAAATAATTGTTTGATCAAAATGCAAATGCTCTCTGCGCCTCTTTAGAGGGGGCCAGGTTGTGGCTTGTGGTCCCCGGTAGGCTTAAAAGAACTCCATGACTGACAGCACCTAATAGTTTGGCACTGTAGCCTCAGGAAGCCAATAGGGGCTCCCCCCTCCAAAAAAAAACAAAAAAACAAGTACGTTATGCCCGGAGTTATGAAACAACATTCTCAGTCCTTAACTTTGAAACCCAAGAGTGATATACATGTTGTCTTAAAATGACAACTGACCTTTGATTAAGATGTCTATGTAAACACAACCATGAGTTGTTGTAATCAGGTGTTTGTGTATAGGGAGGTGAGTGGGTAACTGTATATATATGTACATGTATCCTGTAATCTCCTGTAACCTAAGTGTAGTTGTATTTTTGTATTAGTTTAGTGATGTGCTTCATGAGATATGGGAGATGCAAAACTTTTAGTGTTGCAAAAGTTGTGAACAGTTTATTATTTCATCATCCATGTATTAAAGGGAGATAATGAAGTTGGAAATGTGTGTAATTACCCAAGGGTAGTTACAGGATGAGAGCTACGTTTGTTGTGTCCCCATCTTCCCAGTATTCTTTGTCATATGATGTTTAACTATACTGTACATGTGTGTATTTTTATGTATTTGTGTTTAAAAGGGGAAGAGAAGTGATTTGCAAGGTGGCATGATTTAAGTATGGTAAAACATTATCAATAATGATACAGAACAAATTACTAATACTGTACTTAGGAAGTAATCAGCCACCACAATTTTACAGTTAGTGGCTATCAACAACAAAATTAAAAAACAGGTTTTAAATCTAAAATTATGCTTTAATGTATCCTTTTATCAAAACTCTTATGAAATCATTCAATTTACTGTAAATGTATGAAATTACACCTGTAATATTTTTACAGCCATCAGATATGCCACAGTCTTCAAGGGTACAATACTTGCTTCACTATTCAATCATCATTTTAAGGCACTACACTCAGCAGTGATATTTCTGAACACAAAAACAAGCCACTTAATAAGAGTACTGATAATTACATCCACCACACAATGATTGTGTCTACTAAAACTCATATCAAGAATACTAGCACCTCTCCAGTTCTTCTCCACGCACCACACTTGCTTTGTGAGCTTCATCTGCTGCTTAACTACAGCTTGCACACCTGTCACACAGGCAATGGTAACTCTCAACATATCTTGGTCGTGTTCGATACACATCTTTAACGACCAAATTCACAAATGCATTGTAGCCTCTGGTACTCTACCATGATGATTTATGTAAAAATTACTTATAAAGCAAAAAAACATTCATGTATACAATCATTACACCTACCATCATAATTCTCACATACAATGTTTATGGATAGGAATGTACAGTACACTTATTTAAACTTTTTGTCTAAGACTTGCCTAGTTATATCTGCATTAGACTACCAGCTAGTCCATCTTGATGTTTCGATATATATATTTGACGAAAGCAAGCGACGCAAAGAACGACACGGTACCCAGGGTGAGAAAGAAGACGTAACAGGTGAGGAGTGACCAGCCCACAAACTCGATGGTCTGTAGTCCACCAGACATGTTAGATCGCTTCAGATAGTAGAATAGACAGTACATCAGGACAAAACCTCCAGTTGATCTGTTGAGGAAATCAGAATTCAGAATTGCAGTTAAACAAAACATTTTTTCAAAATATTTCAATTATTGCTTGATTTACATTTACTATTCTTAAAATTTAGCAGTTCTACACTATTATGGTCCAGCCTTTCACCACATGCTCAGACAAAAATGGTCAAGCCCTCCTGGGCACTGCTCACGAATGTATAAATGTTTTTATACTTTTTAATTTTTTTCAAGTTACAGTATTCGAAAAAGACTCGGTGGACTTAAATGGTGGAGAGGACTCGGGATAAATTACTTCATGAGCAAATCACTTGATCTGAAGCTGAATGCAAAGCCCAAATTTCATTTGGATTCAATAATTTATTTAAAGAATTAGAGCCCTTGTCAACACTATTCAATTCAAATTCAATTCCATGTTTATTCAAAAGAATGTGTGGTACAAAGAACATAAGAGTAATGTACAATTGCAGTGCCAGGAGTTACACAATCCATGATGCCACTACCATGCCAGGCCTTTTGGGCATAACAAAAATAAATTGACAATAACATTTAACCAAATGAGTGAGGGGAAGGGAGGGAAGGGTAAAGCAGTTAATACTATAGGAGATGCAAGCTAACAAAATGTGAACAGAGTTGGAAATTAAGAGATATATGCAAAAAACCAGCGATGAATGTAATGAAATGCCCTTTTCTGGCTGAGTCCCGAAGGCTCCCTGGAACTATTGGACTGATTTTAGCTAATATTAATACAGGGCTTCAGTCATATGGAGTTGTCATGCCTACTGGGAACCACTAGCCTGAAAATGGTCCCCTCAGAGGCATAGGGAGCAATTGCCTATGAAATTCCATGTATGAAAAGTATTCATGTCTGCCATCGACCTGGGTTGAGCACCCGGAAAGGTAGGTGCTTTAAAACAGACCTCACCTGGTATAAATATTGCAACCTAAGACTTAACAAGCAACACGTCATCACACTGCGTGCCGCTCATTCGCACCGAGCCCCCCCTCCCTCCTCTCGGGAAGAGGGGTTCAAGCCCACTGAGCCAGCAGCCAGATCGTCAGTTTGGAGATTTAAAATGGAAACAAAACCTGCCGACTAAGGGGAAAGGGAGGGTGCCAGGGAGCCTCTGGGGCTCTACCCAGAAAATTGTCTTTCATTACATTCAACACTGGTTTTCAGTGGGAAGCCCCATCGGCTCCCTAGAGCTAACTACCTAAACAGAAATAATAATGGAGCTTACCCAGGAGACGGCTGCACAGCACAATTCATACCAAAGGCGAGACAGGTGGCAATAACAGCCGATCCAAGATGACACAAGACCGCGCTGAGGGCCCGGCACATGGACAAGATATCAGGCAGCCAGGACCCTGTTCGATCTCCACAACCCCCATGCCGTAATATCCGCCCAAGTCATATTGCCGAACACAGCAGCCAAAACTGCATACTGACGAACATCATGGGCGCGAGGGTAGACCGCAGGCTGGCTAGACTTGATAACCCTGAAGACGACCTGAGAGACCTGAGCCCTGGAACAGGGAACAAGAGAAACAGGGGTCAACCCAGAGTGTGTCCCTGGACACAGAAGCCAAAGTGCGCAGGTAACAGCACAAAGACACTACCGGACACAAAACATGATGCACCCCCGGCCTGACCAACCAAGCATCAATAACCCATAGACCCCTCTGGAAGCCCACCGACTCGTTCTTCACCAGAAAAGAAAGAGATGGCTGCAAACGAAAAAAACGTCCACCCGGACCAAAAGAGCAAAAGCCTCTGCGCCAGAGGAGAGCATGAAGCTCCCCGACCCGACCCCCAAAAGCCAAAGCCAACAAGAATGAAGCCTTTTGGAAACAGTCCTTTAGCAAAGGGGCCACCACAAGCCAGGGGAAGACAGAAAGGAGAGCACCCGATTCAAAGCCCAGGACAGCTCAGGCAGCGCATGAGCAGGCCAGAGGTGGAAAAAACCAGCATTGAATGTAATGAAATGCCATTTTCTAGGTGAGCCCCGGAGGCTCCCTGGCTGCCCCCATCACTCCATCAATGGGACGAACCGCAAAAGGGCCAGTGCCGCTTACAAGAACCCGAGCCTCGCACAGAGCGAACACCTCGCCGACCAGACGAAGGCGGCTCCGAAACTGACACCAGTGGTCTACCCCGACGAGTGGAATCCTGAGCCCTGGCATGACCCCTCTGGGATGGGGGCCCCCCCTCCCGGGCCTCTGGAGAACCAACAAATCATACATGGGACAACAGCTAGCCGAAGCCGCTTGCAAGTACTGCACCACAGCAGACTCCGAGAACAGACTCACAGGTGGCTCCAAGTGCCTCCAGTCCTCCTCAAGCCAATCTTAGGACAGCTCGAGCAGGGAAAAGAAACGCAAGGCCAAAGCCAACAGGCCATGCGTGCGCAAGTCTTCCACGACCACTGCAGCCGAAAGGGAAGGAACCTGCACATGAAGCTGCACCACACCATCATCCCACAGAAGGGCAGGGGCGAACAAGCATGCAATGAGATGCTCAAAATCGGCCACCCAGGAAAAAAACCTGCACCACCGTATGAGCTTCTCACCACTCAAGTGTGTGGGACCGACAGAACGCATGCTAAGGAAAGCCACAATGGTCTCTCGCACCACATGAGGCGGGAGGCCAAAAACCTCCGGAAAGACGGAAACGACAAACCCATGGAACCGTACCCCCCAGGTCAACCCACTGTTCAGATCAAGAAGCTTCTGCTGGAGGACCAAGTTCGAATGCCTCTGCCGCCACTCCAGAAGGGGACTTCCCCGAAGCTGCCCGAGTCTCAACACCAACTAAACCTTGCTCCAACTCCAAAACCCTAAGACACTTCTGGGCCAGAAGCAAGGGAAAAGAACCAGGACGCATAAGAGAAAGGGAAGGACTAGGGGATGCAGACGGAACCAAAGCTGAGGTGATTAAAACCCCCATGTCCAGGTCCCTAAAGCCAAAGCGGGGCAGTCTCGAGGCATCGGGGAAGCAACCAATCTCTCACGTTGCAGCAACCTGAACTTAGCATGCAACGCTGAAGCCGTCTGTACCCGCATATGATCATCAGTAGATTGGGTGAACTGAAGTACGTACATACAAGCAACAAAACTCGCAAGACTCCGGGTCAAAAGTGTCACCGACCCTATAGGCAGCATGGCGGAGGCACGACCAGTGATTGTGACCCCTGAAACAGGGGGACAGGGCAACCTTCCAACATGCACAAAGCAAGAGGAGACCCAGGAGTTGCATCCATTAGACCACAGAACCCTCACTGGGTTTCCCAGGGCCCTTAGTCATGATATTCCGCTAAGGAAAGCCTATGCAGGGTACTGCTAGCCGGCACCCAAAACTACCAAGCAAACTGCTAAAGCCGAGCCCTCAGGACATGTACATTCGAGGGGGCCTAGCGGAGGACCACCAAGTAACAATAGGGTCTGACTAACCAACAGGCAGACCCTCCACCAGGCAGTGAAACAAAAAGAAAAAGAAAAACCCCACAAGAGGACTGAGGAATGGATAACCGGGTAAAAGTCGGAATACGGAATGCCTTTGCGAGAGATGGGACAAGAGCGGACAGCTTCCTTGGCAGCAGCATCCGCACGCTCATTTAAAGACACACCAATATGGCTGGGAACCCAACAAAACTCAACCGACTTAAATTTACTGTGAACGAGAAACAGCCAATGCTGGATCTCGACAACTACTGGATGAACCGGATTAAAGGACCCGAGAGCCATGAGGGCACTACGAGAGTCAACAACAACCACAAAGGAAGACTGACAACGAGAAAGCAGGAGACGAAGAGCATAGAGAATAGCATAAAGTTCCGCTGTAAAGATGCTAGTCTCCGGAGGCAAGCGACACATATAAGTGCGATCAGGAAAAACAACAGAGTAGCCAACACCGTCCGCTGACTTAGACCCATCGGTGAAGACAGAAACGGAGCGGGAGTGAGAAGAAAAGTGCTCGAGGAAAAGGCGTTTTAGAACCGTAGGAGGGGTAAAAGCTTTAGTGATACGGGTCAAGGATGTACAAAACCGCGGAAGAGGGACCCTCCACGGGGGCAAAGAAGGAACAACACGAGGAGAAACATCAGAAATACGAACGGAAAGAGAATCCTGTAGGCGAGATAACCGGACAGAAAGAGGGAGGTGGTGAAGAGGAACAGGAACCGCAGGAGGGGTAAAAGTTAAAGCACGACAGAGGCGAGAGGAAGGATGTTGCAAGGACCGCGCAAGATAGCGAAGACAGTAGCGATCACGGCGGTCCTGGAGAGACAGGAAGCCAGTGTCAACATACAAGCTAAGGATGGGAGTCGAACGAAAGGCACCAGAACTGAGGCGCAACCCAGTATGGTGCAAAGCATCAAGACGGCGAAGAGTAGAAGGAGAAGCAGACGAGTAAGCAGGGCAACCATAATCGAGCTTAGACAGGACGAGAGAGGAATGTAAAGCAAGGAGAGTGCGCCTATCTGCCCCCCAAGAAGTATGGGACAAGACCCGAAGGAGGGTAAGGGCCTTAGAGCACTCAACACGGAGGTAAGAGATATGGGGAGACCAAGACAAACGAGTGTCAAGGAATAACCCCAAAAGCTTCGCGGAATCTTTGTATTCAAGGGGATGACCATAAAGTGACAAAGAGGGACGAAGAACAACCCGTTTCCGCGTAAAAGTCATGGCACAAGTCTTAGAAGTAGAGAACTTGAAGCCATGACCTGTGGCCCAAGACGACACGGCATCAATTGCAAGTTGAAGCCGGCGTTGAAGGAGAGGCGAATCATCACCCTGACAACAAAGGGTAAGATCATCGACATAGAGAGCGGAGAAGACACCAGAAGGAAGAGAGGAAAGAAGACCATTGAGGGCAACCAGAAAAAGAGTAGTGCTCAGAACACTACCCTGGGGCACACCTTCGTATTGCTGAAAAGAGGGAGAGAGAGCGGTACCAAGGCGCACCCGAAAGGAACGACGAGAGAGGAAGCTGCGGAGAAAGAGAGGGAGATGACCACGAAGGCCAAAAGAATGAAGTTGAGATAGGATATGATAACGCCAAGTGGTGTCGTAAGCCTTTTCTAGGTCAAAAAGGACGGCAACAACGGAGGTCTTCGCAGCAAAAGCAGTACGAATATAGACCTCCAAGTTCACCAGGACATCTGTCGTGCTGCGGCACTTGCGGAAACCAAATTGAGAAGGGGAGAGGAGGTGATGGTGTTCCAGGAACCACATCAGACGAACGTTAACCATACGTTCAAAGAGTTTGCAGACACAACTTGTGAGAGCAATAGGGCGAAAGTCCTTAGGGGAAGTACCCAGAGACCCCGGTTTGCGAACAGGGAGGACAACGGCATCGAGCCAGTCCTCAGGGACTGACGACGACTCCCAGATCCGATTATACAGACTCAGTAAATACTGAGACGTGCTCGGAGGGAGATGGCGAAGCATCTCATAATGAATACCATCGGAGCCCGCCGCCGTAGAACCGCAGAGGGCCAGGGCAGAACGAAGTTCAGAGAGAGAGAAGGGATCATTATAGGGAAGCTGAAGATGAGTGCAGAAATCTAAAGGACGAGACTCAAGGACAGGTTTACGAAGAAGGAAAGATTGGGGAAGATGAAGACCAGAGCTAACAGAAGAAAAGTGGGAACCCAGTTCGGAAGCGACCTGCAACGGGTCCGCCACAAGAGTATCATGGAGGTGAAGGACCGGTGAAACATCGGGAACGAACTTACCCGCTATCTTGCGGATACGCTTCCAGATCTGGGCCAGAGGGGTTTCGGACGTAATTGTTGAGACATAAGATGCCCAACATTCACGTTTAGCCGTACGGATGGCCCTACGGGCCACCGCACTCGCTTTCCGAAAGAAAAGAAAAGAATCGGTCGTCTGCCTACGGCGGTGCCTCTTCCAGGCTGCACGCTTACAGCGGACAGCCCGAGCACAGTCCGCATTCCACCAGGGAACGCACTTCCGTGGACCCCGAGAGGAAGAGCGAGGAATAGAGCGGAGGGCAGCGTTGAAGACAGTGTCATGAAAAAGGAGGAGAGCGCGAGAGAGGGGCAGAAGGGAGAGGTCAGAGAGAGTAGCACTGAGGGAAAATAGGGTCCAGTCCGCCTTAGCAAACTGCCACCTAGGGAAAGAGAGGGAAGGGCGAAAAGAGAAAAAGGAAACAAGGATGGGGAAATGATCACTTCCATGGAGGTCATCAAGAACCTGCCACGTGAAATCTAAGTAAAGAGAAGAAGAGCAGAGAGAAAGATCAAGACAAGAAAGGGTGCGAGTCCGAGAGTCCAAATGAGTGGGCTCACCAGAATTCAGAAGAGACAGGGAAGAAGAGAGGAGAAACGGCTCAAGGAGGCGACCCCGGGTATTCGTCAGAACGTCACCCCAAAGAGAATGACGACAATTGAAGTCACCCAGCAGGAGCACAGGCTCCGGCAAGGAGTCTAGGAGGTGTTTCAAATCAGGAAGAGAGAGCGGGACACTCGGGGGGAGATAAATGGAACAAACTGTGTACCATTTCCCCACAAAGATACGAGCAGCAGAACAATGGAGAGGCGAAGGAAAAAGTAAAGGAACAAAGGGAACATCAGCCCGAATCAAGAGAGCAGAAGAATTAGAAGCCCCAGCAATGGCTGGGGGGGGGGGGGAGAGAAAGGAATAGCCACGAAAACGACCAGGACGAGCACCAAGCATTGGCTCCTGGAGACAGACACAAAGGGGCGAAAACCGCGAAATCAGAAGTTGGAGTTCGAGGAAATTGGCGTAATAACCTCGAACGTTCCATTGAAGAATGGACAACGACGAGAAGAGAAAGGACAAAAACAGAGAACAAGGAAGAAACAAAGGCGAAAGAGCAACAGAGCACGTTAAAGAATATCAGGGTCGGGATCAGGGTCAGCAAAGTCAGGGTTAGGGGGCATGGGTAAACTGAGCAAAGACGGAGGGAAGGAAACGGGAGAACAGATCAGAGGTGGGCGGGCAGGGTCCGGAGGAGGAGGAGGAAGAGGAGGAGACAACGGAGAGGAGCAGTCAAGGACAGCAGCAGGAAGAGGGGGAGTAGAAAGAGGGGAGCGCACCCCAGCAAGAGCAGCAACCGAAAGGGAAGCAGGGGCCAAAGAAACCTCCATAGCAGGAACAGGGGGCGCAAGCACTGAAACGGGAGGGGAAGGAGCAACAGAGCCAGAAGGAGGAGCTGAGGAAGAAAGCGAAGCCTTCTTACCCGCCGGGGAAGAGGAAGGAGAGGAGCCAGGCTTACGCTTCTGACTTAAAGAGACCGGTGTCCCAGCAACTACGTACCGGGCAACGGATTCCAGTGTCTCAACAGGAGAAGCCGAACGAGAGCACACACGACGGCCGTTAGGAGAGCGATGGACATCCGCCCGCACCGACAGGCGGTGGGGAGAGCCGATAGATGGAGGAAGAGGATGGGAAGGAGGATCGGAGGGGGACGAGGAAGAAGACACAGAAGACACGACAGACCGGGTAGAAGGAAGGGGAACCCCAGACAGAGGACCAGGAGGAGGATCCTTCGGGAGAGAACCCAAAGGGACAGAGGAGGGGGCAGTGGGCGCATCAGGGTCCAAGGCCCGGAAACGGTTGTGAGTCTGAGGAAGGCGGGAAGGACGAGGAGAGGAAGAGCGCAACACGCGAGCATAAGAGATATTAGCATAAGGCGGGAGCCGGCGAACCTGGCGCCTCGCCTCAGGAAAAGATAAACGCTCCCGGTGCTTCAAGTTGAGGACGGCTGCCTCAAGCTTGTAATGGACACACGCACGGGAGAAGGTAGGATGGGCCTCACCGCAGTTGAGGCAACGAGCCTGGGGAGAAGCGCACTCCGACTTAGAGTGACCTTCGCCACCACACAAAGGACAGAGAGAGACAGTCCCGGAGCAGCGGAGGGCACCATGCCCAAACCTCCAGCACTTGTTGCAGAGCCGAGGAGAAGGAATGTACTCCTGGACAGAGCACCTGGCACCAGCAAGAATGACAGAGGGTGGAAGGGTCCTACCATCAAAGGTAATCTTCACAACCCGGAGGGGTTGACGGCGACTACCACGAGGGGGACGAGTAAACGTGTCCACCTGGAGAATAGAATGGCCCTGGGCAGCGAGGATATGTCGAATATCGTCGTGGCAGTCGCGCAGGTCCCGAACACCGGTCGCAACATGGGGCGGGAGCAAAATAGTGCCAACACTGGCATTCAACTGAGCGTTCTTCGAGACCCGAACGGGGGTCTCGCCAAGGCAGGATAAGGCAGCCAAGCGGGAAGCAGCATCCTGAGAAGGAGCAGCAACGACACGTGTACCGAGACGAGTGGGGTTGAAAGTAATGGAGGCATCCACGGAATCAATGAGATGTCGATGGAGGGAGAAATCGTCAGGAGGCGCAGAATCAAGAGGGAGGAGATCAAAATATTTGGCCCACGAAGCGGGACCAAACAAGGCTTGATAGGTAGCAGAACTGGAAGGAATCGAGCGAGGGCGGCCGTGACGAGGACGGCGGTGAGAACCCCCAGAGAGAGAGGGGTTAAAAGGCGCAGTAGTTACAACTAGAGAAGGAGCCGCGCCAGGGGACGAGGTAGTCACCACTGGGGGCTTGGGGCTCGACCCAACCACAGAGGAGGGAGGGGAGCCAGAGGAAGGAGTCAGAGAGGCCAAAGGAGGAGCAAGGTCGGGGCCCAATGCAGCGGAGGCTACAGAGCCCGGTCTTCCAATACGGACCGACTCGGGGGCTTGGTCGCCCACCCCACGAGCCTGAGAAGGTAAACCAGAAGAAGCCGAAACAGGGGTTATCATCTTGACGAAAAGAAGAATTCACTCACGAATGTGCCCCCACACCCACCATGGAGCCACAATTAGAGGCAGGACACCCAACAAGAAGCTATCGCCGATCTTGTCGGGGCCTCCTAGGGGTGCGTCGTGAGTATACGCCCCACAAACGCCACCTTAAGAAACCGACAGTCCGTCGAGATCGGGTTCAGTGACGAAGTGGGGATTGACAATAAAAGGTTCCCCTCGCTCTCGACGTCGGGTACTGCAGTTCTACGGGTGCAAGAGTATGCCTCCTCAAGCACCCGGGCGTCAAAATAGAAGAAGTCCAAGGGAAGAACCAGAACGAGCAAAAGGTCGGCAGGAAACGGCAAGCAGATAGGAGAAGAGGGGGGAGAAAAACGAAACAGAAGGAAAAAGAAAAGATGCCCAGCAGAATTGGAGAGGACGGCAGCAGGAGCACAAGGCTAGAAAAGGACAGAGGACTGTCCCAAGGAGCATCACACTCCGGCAGCCGCCCACTAAGCCCCCACACGGCGACAACGAGCTGAGCGGGGAGGGGGAACAAATTAATGTACAGATATTAACAATGAATTTTAGGCACAAATAATATAGAAAGATTCCTTACCCTGCACTGAAGACTGATCGCCACCACCACCTGTAGTCTTCTGCAGCCAGCTGGAAGTATGTCAGTGCAATGGACACACACGCAGTCACACTCAACAGGATAACAAACACTACACCCAGTATGCCATAGAGTGTGTACTGCTCCCGGCCCCACAGAGTGGAGAAAATGTAATACATTTCCACACTAATGGCACTGGTTCAAAAAAAGAGAATATGAAATCAATGTTAAAATAATTTTTGAAACTCCTGCACTTGATCTGAAATACAGTTTCATTATAACATCACTCATTCTAATCATGGAAAATTGATTGTGGGAAAAAAATATATACAGTATATAATTTTAGAAACAAAAAGAATAAAAAAACAAATAATTTTTATTAGCATTTTTAACCACTATACATAGCACCTTAACCACTGTGCTGAACCAACCGAGAAAACTCGGTCGGTGGGAAACTGCACCAAGCGAGAAAACATCTTTTGAATATTTTATACCCATTCAAAATGGGTGCATGGTAGGTTGTGTACGAAATGAACTCTTGGGACCTCCAGTGAGAGGCAGCCATCTTTGAAAAAATTCTCAGAATGTCCTAGGGCTGCTGGCTGGTTTAGTACCGAGTGAGCAACCATGGGTGGCGCACACGCCTATGCTCCCAAACACCTATCTGATGAGGTGTTGAAAGATCGCTCTCTGTCGGTGAAATTCAGACCTTATTGTTTGAAGAACATAAGGGTCATGATATTGATAAAGGTAGGTGCAATAAGGACCTACGTAACACAAAGGTCGGATGCAAGTGATACAGCACCGATGAGGACAATACAGCGAGTGTATCCCATTGTAGCTCTGAGTGCCACTCTTGCCCACCCATGCCGTCTCCAATTTTGATCAATGATACATAGATGAATCATTTTCTGGGTTCAGTGATGATGCATCTGATACAAGTAGCATAGATGAACAGTGTTAGTGGCTTCCATGGTGGTGTTTTCCCCTAGATATTTTCACAAATAGCTGAATCTCTTCCAGAATGACTGAATCTCTCCAGTTAGGAAGCTTACAAAGCCATCTTTTCAAGACTACCTTATAAATTGATCTTTTCCTATAATCTTTTCAATACTACCTTACACTTTACAAGCTTGGCTACATACCACTTACAAGTACTGAAGCCAAGGGTGTACGTGAGTGCATTATTTGCAAGCACACAAAGGAAGAAACAGGAAGCAAAAATCTATCTGTATTTGGTGCAACAAGAGTGAAGTTGTGCTGTGTACCATGGACTACTTCGTTGATTATTACACATCTCCACAGTACTGAGTGTGTAATACAGTGTGTTACTGTGTAAATAGTGTGTGAAACTGTACATATTGTAACTTTGATGAATTTTTAACAAGTAATATTGTGACAAACATTTATTGTGGGCACATAACTGACACATTTATCACAGTTCCATGAACCCTTATGAACGTTCTACTGTACACGTTTTGTAAAGGACACAAATATGCATCATATACGATAAAACAAATAAAACCACATTGGAAATACATAGAACAAATAATTGAAAATATAATTATGGCAACTCGTGGTGTTTGAATGGCGAGCGCAACTGCCTCTGGGAGCTCTGTGACGCCCACTTCTCCACGTCCCCACAGCCAAAGTGGAATTTTTTAGGTTTTTGTACAGGTACGTGTTCAGGGAAGGGAATTTATAATTTAACAAAGATCAAATAAATTTTGCGACCCTTGATTTTATGAGCACAGGGAGAATGTCACAATAAACTCGGCGCATCACAGTGGTTAAGGCACTCGACCAGTGGTGTGTATAGCATCTTAACCAATGCACTGCACTAAGTGCCTTAAGGCGCCGGTTCAAGGGTGAGCAGAGTGCCAAATGGGGCTATTAGGTATAGGAAATGATTCAAAACTCCCGCCGATACACAGGGCTCACATCCTGTGCCTCAGAACTCCAGTAAACAGAAGCCAGCTTGAAAAAAAAAAAATTATCTGCATTCGTACTGGCTGTGAGAGCCTCAATATTGAGGGAGCAACCAAGGCTGGCACATGTAGCAGGAGCTCACAGCACCCCTGTACAGCTAGGGGCCACAGCACCACTTAATAATGATGACTAAAACAGGTAACTAATTATTTTTTACTGATAGTGTCAGAGATGATCCTGACTGATAAAGACTATGTTCAATGTTCAGATACCAGTAAACACAATGCTAGTTATGATGTTCACAGCATGAGGTACACACACAGCACCCAGTTATTTTTTCCTGCATCTACACATCATGAAACGACCTCATGTTCCTTTACAATATAACTTTGTGGAAATGGATTCATATTTAGGACTTTGTGACAGGAATGTGGTAATAACAGCATTCTTGTAGCTGGTCATAGCGAGATGTGTAGAATATTGGAGGCATTAATTGTCTTGCATCACGTAACTGCTGGAGTCATCTGCTCGTATCATGTGGCTCCATACTGTCTTTTAATTTCATTACCATATCCACCAGAACTGTTTATTAGTTTGCTATGATGCATATAAATGTTGATGGTAATTGTCCAAGTGTAGTTACAGGATGAGAGCTACGCTCCTGGTGTCTCGTCTTCCCAGCACTGTCATATACCGCTTGGCAATTACTGACGGTTCTGGCCTCCACCACCACCTCACTTACCTTGTTCCAACTGTCTACCACTCTGTTTGCAAAAGAAAACTTTCTAATGTTTTTTCTGCACCTCTGTTTCCTTAGCTTGAAACTGTAAGTAAGTAAGTAATTATCAAAAGAAGGCACCAAACCGGGAAGGCTATGTAGCACCATCAAATACGCAAAATAATCAGAGGGCGCTAAATATCACCAAGGATGCCAATACGAGAACAAAAACGCATAAGGCGAACGATATCAAAAGTATCCGAGTCACCAAGAATTCTATCGAGGGACAGGTGACCGCGAGGGGCGGTCGGAAAGCAAGACACACGCTCGTCCTGGAAGTCAGGACATTCAAGAAGGACATGCACGACCGTAAGAGGGACAATGCAACTAGGACAATAAGGAGCAGGGCGGCGCTCCATCAAGTGACCATGGGTTAAGCGAGTATGGCCAATACGCAACCTCGCCAGAGCTGTTTCCCACCGCCGGTTACGGTGGAAGGAGGACGGCCACGAGGAAACACAACATTTAAGAGTACGTAGCTTGTTACCAGTAACAGACAACCAAGAAGCCTGCCAACGGGTAAGGACTGAGGAATGGATAACCGGGTAAAAGTCGGAATACGGAATGCCTTTACGAGAGATGGGACAAGAGCGGACAGCTTCCTTAGCGGCAGCATCCGCACGCTCATTTAAAGACACGCCAATATGGCTGGGAACCCAACAAAACTCAACCGACTTAAATTTACTGTGAACGAGAAACAGCCAATGCTGGATCTCGACAACTACCGGATGAACTGGATTAAAGCACCCGAGAGCCATGAGGGCACTACGAGAGTCAACAACAACCACAAAGGAAGACTGACAACGAGAAAGCAGGAGACGAAGAGCATAGAGAATAGCATAAAGTTCCGCTGTAAAGATGCTAGTCTCCGGAGGCAAGCGACACATATAAGTGCGATCAGGAAAAACAACAGAGTAGCCAACACCGTCCGCTGACTTAGACCCATCGGTGAAGACAGAAACGGAGCGGGAGTGAGAAGAAAAGTGCTCGAGGAAAAGGCGTTTTAGAACTGTAGGAGGGGTAAAAGCTTTAGTGATACGAGTCAAGGATGTACAAAACCGCGGAAGAGGGACCCTCCACGGGGGCAAAGAAGGAACAACACGAGGAGAAACATCAGAAATACGAACGGAAAGAGAATCCTGTAGGCGAGATAACCGGACAGAAAGAGGGAGGTGGTGAAGAGGAACAGGAACCGCAGGAGGGGTAAAAGTTAAAGCACGACAGAGGCGAGAGGAAGGATGTTGCAAGGACCGCGCAAGATAGCGAAGACAGTAGCGATCACGGCGGTCCTGGAGAGACAGGAAGCCAGTGTCAACATACAAGCTAAGGACGGGAGTCGAACGAAAGGCACCAGAACTGAGGCGCAACCCAGTATGGTGCAAAGCATCAAGACGGCGAAGAGTAGAAGGAGAAGCAGACGAGTAAGCAGGGCAACCATAATCGAGCTTAGACAGGACGAGAGAGGAATGTAAAGCAAGGAGAGTGCGCCTATCTGCCCCCCAAGAAGTATGGGACAAGACCCGAAGGAGGGTAAGGGACTTAGAGCACTCAACACGGAGGTAAGAGATATGGGGAGACCAAGACAAACGAGTGTCAAGGAATAACCCCAAAAGCTTCGCGGAATCTTTGTATTCAAGGGGATGACCATAAAGTGACAAAGAGGGACGAAGAACAACCCGTTTCCGCGTAAAAGTCATGGCACAAGTCTTAGAAGTAGAGAACTTGAAGCCATGACCTGTGGCCCAAGACGACACGGCATCAATCGCAAGTTGAAGCCGGCGTTGAAGGAGAGGCGAATCATCACCCTGACAACAAAGGGTAAGATCATCGACATAGAGAGCGGAGAAGACACCAGAAGGAAGAGAGGAAAGAAGACCATTGAGGGCAACCAGAAAAAGAGTAGTGCTCAGAACACTACCCTGGGGCACACCTTCGTATTGCTGAAAAGAGGGAGAGAGAGCGGTACCAAGGCGCACCCGAAAGGAACGACGAGAGAGGAAGCTGCGGAGAAAGAGAGGGAGATGACCACGAAGGCCAAAAGAATGAAGTTGAGATAGGATATGATAACGCCAAGTGGTGTCGTAAGCCTTTTCTAGGTCAAAAAGGACGGCAACAACGGAGGTCTTCGCAGCAAAAGCAGTACGAATATAGACCTCCAAGTTCACCAGGACATCTGTCGTGCTGCGGCACTTGCGGAAACCAAATTGAGAAGGGGAGAGGAGGTGATGGTGTTCCAGGAACCACATCAGACGAACGTTAACCATACGTTCAAAGAGTTTGCAGACACAACTTGTGAGAGCAATAGGGCGAAAGTCCTTAGGGGAAGTACCCAGAGACCCCGGTTTGCGAACAGGGAGGACAACGGCATCGAGCCAGTCCTCAGGGACTGACGACGACTCCCAGATCCGATTATACAGACTCAGTAAATACTGAGACGTGCTCGGAGGGAGATGGCGAAGCATCTCATAATGAATACCATCGGAGCCCG